ATGTTTAAATTGTTGGCTCCCCTTGTTTGATAAGTTTGCCCCACTAAAATTCTTTTACAGATACACAATATTTCAAGTATCTCCTTTTTCCTCTTTGCAAAGATTTCAAATAAAAAGTACAGAAAAAGAAGAAAAAATAACAATCTTTTGGGAAATTATTCTCTCATGTATAACCATATTGATCAACAATATTACTCCCAAGTGCCTTTTCTTTTTCCTAAAAATTTTCAATTTGGCAATCAATGATTTTGTGATCAAATATGGATAAATTTTATTTTCTTCCTCAAAGGCTAATTGGTGTTTTGGAGGGGTGAGACAATGAACCCCACACATATGCTACTTTTTACTGTACAAGTCAAGCTCCACCTACAATTTTCTTTTATTGTTTGGCTAATTATGCATGTTTGAGTATGTGTTAAATATGCCATTATTTATAGCCCTTCAATCATATAACATTATAACAATTTTACTTGCATTATGGTGGAAAAAGAGAGAGAACATGATCATGGCAACATCATAATCAGCTTAATGACTTAGTGACAAGTTTCAGACCAAACACAATACAAGTATTAATAGAATTTATTTTAATCTTAAAACTACAAAATGTGATGTATTTTTACAAAAAAATAAAAAATAAAAAATGAAAATGAAATTTTCTTAAATGTTTAAGCTAAAGAAAGTTAAAAGTTGCTTCAAAAAAAGTAATGGGTACTTTTTTTAAAAGTTTATAAATTCTTAAAAAATACATTTTTTTGCATCTCATAAGCTCGTTTGAAAAATTACTAAATGAGTAAAGGGTGTACTTTTTTAGGAGCTTATAAATTTTTAGAGAGTGCATTTTTGTTTGAAAAATTACCAAATGAGTTAGGGGTACTTTTCTTAGAAGCTTATAACTTCTTAGAGAATACATTTTTGTATCTCATAAGCTCGCTTGAAAAATTAACAACTGAATTTTATGAGCTTATATGCTTGTATATATCTTATGAGATGTTTTAAAGTCCTTATAATCTATCCCAAACATCGTCTAAGTCTATTATGCTGGATCTATTTTATTTATTTTAGTAACATAATATATTGTGTTTAATAATAGTTCAGTGAAAAAGACTTATATAGTAGCTCTATTTTTCAGAATAAATAAATGCTATAATATATGAAAAATGAAAAGATAAATAAGTAAACATCAACACGGGCATCCATCTTCAAACCTCTTCTAACAAGTTTAGGTGACTAATTAACACCAAAATCAAGTTCACAAGTAAGATAGAGCTATCCTTCTTTATTTTTTATCTATATATTTGAAAAGGTGTCGTTTACTATTCCAAATTTCCAATTGGATATATAGTAACAAATATTTAAACATGACGATTGAGTTGCTCTCCAATTAATTTTATTTTAAAGTTGTGTGAAACTCTTTCTCCACTTTTGGACTATATTTTCGCATTACACTTAAGAGATGAACGTGTTACTGTTTATTGCACTACAATTTTTCTCAAATTTTTTAATTTTCTTTTTAATTAATTTTATTTATATGTTTTATATTGATGAAATATAAACTAACAAATTTATTCTGTTAAATACCTTATAATTTTGATTTTACAATTGTAGTTCAATGTATTTTATACTAATATATTTTATGTAAAGTAAAATGTACGTTGACAAATCACAAACGACGAATAAATTTTAATATTCTCTACTTTAGAGTAAAATAAGTTCTAACTAGTGTAAAACAGATGTTGGGGATGATCTTACATAAGCTTTTGGCCAATAGAATGAACTATCATTTAGAAAAAAAAAATAAAAAATTACGTATCATTTGTTTAATGTTCACATTAATTGGACACACGTATTTTTTTTTTATCTATTAGCTTTATGTCCAAATTAGTCCTATGAAATTCTACACTGACCTTATTTGTTTATATCAATATTGTGGCCATAGTTGTCACACACATAAGTACATAAAATAAAATTCTTAGAAACAATAGAATGGTTATATTGACAAGGCATCTATTTGATTGGAATTTCGATGTTCCACTGAAAAAAGGAAAAAAAAAAATGTCGAAGAGCATAATAAAAGCAAATAAATTTTTCGAAATAGAAGCCTTTGAAATTATTCACTTTTTTGGACATATGGTTAAGCTTAGAAATAAAAGCACTCATGTCATAGGTGTCATCAAAATGAACTAAGGGTGTATTTTCATCCTAACCTAAAGGAGGAAGGTACCCCTTTCTCTTTCTTCTTCCATTTTTTTGATTTTTTTCCCACTTGATTTTTGCTGTCATCTATTTATTTATTTATTTATTCCCTACATAATTATTATTGTCTTTTAGTTATTTTTTTTATTTCTTTTTTGTATTTCTTTAGATTTTTTCTTCTTTTCCTTTATATACCATTTAATTTTTCTAGGCTATCAATCACAGTTTTTGTTACCGGATTGGTCCGGGTGGGTTCCTTGGGTTCTGTCAACAAACGGGCCGATCAGGCCAACCCAATTTGATCCGGCCATTTTTTGTTGTTTTTAAAATAATTTAAATTATAAAACAAAAATTATATTCATAAAAATTATTATTTATTACGATAAAATATTATTATGATTTTAATGTGGGAAACTTACATATAAATTAATTATTTTATTATTTTTTGTATATATTTATAAGATAAGATACTATATAAATAATTAAAGTTTTTAAAGTTATTACCCGACTCATCAATTGATTCGGTGACCCGATGTTTGAACCACTAACCCGATAACCAGCTAGAGTCGATTATGGGTGGAATTTCAAAACATTACTATCAATTATATGTAAGTTTTGAAATAACTAGAGAAAAGGAAAAAATAAAGCATGACTAAAGATTGTTCCTTCTTACCTTGCCATGATCACATTATTACACTTGTAATTATATAAGTTTTCAAATAAGTCGAAAAAAAAGGGGAAATAAAAGATAGCATGGCTCAAGATAATTCCCTTTCTCCTTAATCACATAATTTCTGCATACATACGCTTGTCTTTTGCAACGATTTGTTTCTAAGGTAGATAGTTATGCTCAGGCTAATCGTAGTTTCATAACTATCTAATAAGCTCTTACGCCATTCATTTACAATCATAATTAAGCTTTAATTTTTAAAAACTCATACTGAAATAATTTTTAATAAAGAAAGTTAATAATTACATTTTTTTTTATGTCAATAAACTAGGGTAGTTTATATATTTATTTATAAAAAAATAATAAGTGGACAAAAAACAAAAAAAAAGGAGGGGAGTGGACTAAAATAGAAAGCACGTATTTAGTGAATACGTTTTCTGTGTAATTTAATTAAAAAACGTATTCCTTAAATACGTTTTTTACATTTTTTTTACAAAGGAAACCGTATTCACGGAATACGTTTTACAAATAAAAAATTTAAAAACCGTATTCACTAAATACGGCCTTTCTATTGTTGTCCACCCCTTATTTATTTGTTTCTGTTTTTGTCCACAACTTTTCTGTATCTTTTTTTTCCGTAAAAGAATCCAATAAACTAACTATATTTGTATGTTCATAACCCCTTTTCAAATATATTTAAAATTTTTTAAACTTTTTATAGATATATCATCATTGTTCATACTGAAACTCATAAATCATAATAATAATACTGAATAAAATTTATGTGTGCCTTTTTCTTATCCAGCGCCGAATATCCCAAAATGCAATCATTCATCTAAATAAATTTATTAAAAAGAAAGAGAGGAAACGATTGAGGCACATTTGTCCAAAACCTATGACAGTCGCACCGCATTACCACAATTTTGTTCACAAATTTTGATGGATTTCATTTCACCACTCAAAAAACATAAAATAAATCAAACAAAAACAAACGACTTGTCATAATTTAGTGTAACAAAAAGTAATCTATCTCACGGCTCACTAATCGAAAGACCAATTCCCAATTGATTTCACTACCAGACTAGAAAATCGCTGGTATAAATTAATTTATCGTCATAGTCATACGTGGAACTATATATTAAAATTAATTTATGAAAAATGCTACATGTACATAATAAATGTACAAAAAGATGTACATAACACTCACATTGAGTGAGTTCATTTGATTTTTTTATTTCTGGTAGGACCTATTTAATGTGAGTATTATGTACACTATTATGTACTTATAGCATCACTCTTAATTTATTATGCTAAATTAGGTGTGAATATATTTTGAGAAATTATATAAGTACATAATAGTATACATAAAGGTGTACATAATGTGAGTGTTAATTATGCTTCTATGTACATTAATTATGTACATATGTAGCATTTCTTCATTTATTTTGGATCGCTCGTATAATTTCATTTGTTTTTAGGAAAAAACACTTGAATGAAGGTAGTACGATGTGGTTAAGTAGGGCTGACCATGAGACTCGAATATGTTCGAAATGTTTTGAAAATTGAATCGAAATTACTCTGAACCGAAAAACAATCATTGATCATTTGACTTTTTCAGAGCCGAACTAAACCGAAACGAAAAAATAATTAGGACGGTTCTGGAGATTTCACAAATATCCTTACCAAGAATCGAAATGAACCATCCCATATCATGCTGAATTGAAGAATCGAATTACAACATGATATGTGTCATGTTCATAGATTTTATGATAATTTTAATCCTATATAATTGAGTAATTTAAATTTTTTTAATAAAATATAGTAATAATAATTAANAATATTATGGGTACACTATAAATGGATCAACACTATCTTCCCAGATGAAAAAAAAAAATGAAAAATCATTAGAATGTGGTTTAAAAACAATCTCAAATTTTTATGCAAGACCATCTAAGCATTACACAGAATGTCAGTACTTTTATAATAAAAATACATATTTATATTATAAAATATCATACTTTTATTTACATAATTTTTTGAAATTTTAGTTTAAAATTTTACTTGTAGCTTAATATAATTGAAATAACCTTTATGACACAAAATTAATTTCAAATCTAGTAAGGCAAAAGTTTGCAAACACCAAAATAATTATTCACTAATTACGAACATTATCAAAGAAATGTATAAAGTTCAAACACATTTATGACACTGGCCACTAATTACCTTTTTCATGCACTTCTTCTCCATTTCTTTAGAGAAATTCTGTTGTTGAATGTTACATAAAATATTACGATTGATAGCATTCAAATTTCAATCACACATTAAAATGAAAGTAATGCATTAAAATACTCAAATATAAACAAATACATTGAAAATAAAAAAAGCTTCATTTAATGCTTAAAAAGTACTTTTACTTGGCCAGGAACAAAATGCACCCCCGAAATACACGGCTCGTCTCCTTCCAATTTTTATTTTTCCTGTGTTGAAAATAACCTTTTTCTGCCTGCGTAAATATGGCTAAAACTTTTAGGAAAATGAAAGGTGACATGAGCTGTTGGACAATATGTAATTCTAGACTTATAATTATTTTATTATATTTCTCTTTTTTTCTATGTCATCATATTCTGTACATAAAACAAGACAATTCCAAAATAAAATAAAAATAAAGTAAAATAAAAATCCCAAACTGAAGAACAGTTTACTTTTACTTTGGTTATTAATGACAGGTCCTACAAAATAAGATAATTAGAGCTGCAAAGTTCCTGATTATGGAATTTGATAAACAGAAAACATACCTCACATCTGAGTGAGTCCTCAAACATACTCCACAGTCTCCATTTATAATCAATTCGGTCGAAGGACGACGTGCTGAAAGTAAAAATAAACCAGAAAATGATCATTCTCATTTTTATTTTTTTTTACGATGTGATGACAACAAATGAAGTGACATTGTCGTATATTTGATTCGAACGAAAAAAAAAAAAGAACGATTACCTTGATTTGTGTCCTCTTATAAGTGTAAGTGATGTGAACTAATCCATCACTAGCTTGAATAACAGCAGGATAAGAAAACTCCATTCCCTCAGTTTCCTCTAATGTGATGACATCACTCCAAGAATCACCGTCATCCACCGAAACCCCGACTTTTAGCACGCCACGCGAGATTGTATTATAAGCAAGTACCAAACGACCATCGGCTAACTTCACCCCATCAATTCCTAATCATCATTTTCGAACGGCACATAATATGATCTCGTTTGATTTCTAAAGTTCTAATCTTTAATGTTTTTACTTACTCTTTAATGTAACAAATTCATCACAACAACCNCGCAAATAAACAAGAATTTGAAAAAAAATATAAAGAAAAGAAAAAGAAAAAGAAAATGGGAACCTGAATTTGGATTTGGTAGTTCGGTTGGCTTAGCGTATTCCCAGGTGTGACCGCCGTCTTTGGACTCTGACATGCAAATTCTGTTGATGCCATTAAAAGATCTCAAGAGAACACGCAAACTACCTTTAGCGGTCTTGTAAGGAACAGGCTGGATAACGCTCAGAGTTCTGTTTGGAACATATATCGGCCCATATTTTTTCCACGACTTACCTAAATCCTTAGTTATCTGTCTTACGAATTAAGAAAAAGAAAAAAAACGTTAGCAACTATCTTTCCGAAGCTCTTTTCATTAAGAAGATATGAGTTTAACCTCCATCCATGCACCCCAAGAATTCCAGCTCTCGACAGAAGATCCACAGAGCAAGTGCCCGTTTTCTAGCAAGATGGGCTGCACAAGAAAATTCATTCGAAACGACTGCCTGGTATTTTATGATTTATCGATATGTGGATAATATTAAATTTATATATACCTTGTTCTTTATTGGTCCCAATATGCCGGGAGGAAGCTGTTTTCTCTCGGACCAAGTGGCCCCACCATCGTAAGATCGTTTCATACACCCACTCCATCTAAATTAATGAGAAAGTAGCGAGCTCGAGTTTCAAATGAATTCTCCTAAAGAAAAAAAAAAATAAAAAAATAAGGTGATGGGTCAAATCAAAATACTTACTTTTGAACTTCTTGACCAATTTTATAGAATATTAGCAACACGTTTGAAGGATGTTTAAATAGCACCGGATTCCACATTGGAACGTTCGATTGTTGGTCAACAATCATTGGAGGGTGCCAATTGCCATCCTGCCATTCAGTTTAGTTATAATAAGCTTCGACTAGCTGTAGTTGAATGAATTCTACGTATATATGAGACAGAGAAAGTGACCTAAAAGGTTGGAAAGAAAAAGTTATGCATCTCAAAGTACTTCAGAGTTTCATGATCTTACACAACTAGAAGAATCTCTAGTGTCAGAAAAAGTCTAAACGAGAAATTTGGTCGGTTTTATGTTTTTGAATTACATGTGTAAGGGATCACCTTGTAAGACTGTATCCAGATTTTCACGTCGGATGCACCTTCTGCAGTACCGCCAAAATAAGCGACCATGAAATGATCTTTATCAACCTAACAAAGAAAACCAAACTCGATTAGTATTTTCTTTTAGGTGATGATAATAAAGGAAGGACAAAAAGAGTGCCCGTCAAGCACCACCTCTACAATTGTCGAGGCATGACAGCTGTTGAAGGGGGCCGAGTTTGCAGGAAATGTGAACTCCTCGACAAGCGGGACCCAAGGGGTGGAATCGTCTTTTGTCTCCGATAATATTGACGATTTTTCCATTATGCTCCTTACCTCTCTGCACAAAACTTTAGATGGTCTAAATAATGCAGTAATATCATGACCAATGCAAGAAATAAATTGGCTGGACAATATATTGACTTCTGAAACTCAATGATCTATCTATAAGCTCAAATCTGCTTCTCAAATTAAACCAAGAAAACGGATAATGTGAGGAAGGACCAACAGGGGCAAAGCTAGCAGTAAACATAAACCAAATTTGCCCATCTCACAGTTAAAAGAAAAAAAATTGAATTTTTATCAAAACCTCAAACACACGAAACTCTGGGTGTACACTATCTCTGGCTAAGATGGGCGGAAAACGCGAGCATATATTGTTGATGCAGTAAACGCCAATGGGTACACCATTTATGCTGATTATAAGTAAAGCCCACGTGAAACATGGAGTAACATTATTATACAATTTATGACAATGTACGATTTTAATTATAGGAAATATCTTCCTTATGATTTCTATATAAGTGGCATAATTTTCAAAATATTCATATTCCAGAGAGGCCTTCATATTCACCAAATATACAAGACAGACAAATGGGTTCACGGTAGCAGTGAAGAGACAATCCATTACCATGACACAGAGAGATACAAACAAGAGATGGGATGAGTAGAAGACAAACAATCTTCACAACAACAAAATTCCACAAGAAATCGANTCTGAATAATCCATTTTCAGCTGAAAATAAAGGCCTAAAAGAGTGAAATGGAATTGAAGCAAAAGCCTCAACACATATGAGAGGTGAAAGGTTACAATTACAAAAGCCATTAAAGAGTATGAGAAGTCGACTCGCCTAATGGTTAGATCACCTCCACACAATAAATTTGTGAACGTAGAAGCTCCCGGCTGAAAAAAGTTGAGCTTTTTCGAAAGACCTCATTGTTCGATATGTTCTAACATCAGCCACAGCATAAAGCTTCCCCAGATGTCTATACCAAATAAGTTCTACATGGGGTCTCATACCAATCAAAACTAAACGACATTATTCAAGCGTGACCCGACTATCATACATATACAGAGCACCAAAAAACAAAAAGAAAAAAAAATGCAGGAAAATCCCTAACTACCTTCCAGACAAGAAACGAATTGGCTGGACAAAATATTGACTTCTGAATCTCAACAGTCTATCTATAAGCTTGAATCTGCTTGTCGAAGTAAACCAAGAAAATGAAAAAGGTAGCAGCAGAGGAAGCATCAACAGGGACAAAGCTAGCAGCAAACATAAACCAAATTTACCCATCTCACAGTTAAAGAGAAGACCGAATTTTAATCAAAACCTCAAACGCTCCGAACTCCGGCTGTACACTTTGCCCGGCTAAGATGTGCGCAAACTGCGAGCAAAAATTGTTGACTCAATAAACGCCAACTGGTACACCAACTATGCTGATTATAAGTAAACCCCACGTGAAAAGAGGAGGTTGACGATGAAGGGATCAACATTATTATAAAGGGTTTGGTGAAAATTATAGTGACCATCAATGAAGTTCAGGATAATGGGACCTCAAGTTGGCACAAAAGAATGATTTTTTATTGTGCACTAAGTATCTGTATGGCCTACTGCGGTGGCTTTTTGTTTTTGTTTTTCGTTGGGCAATCGAAGAACTAAACTCTGTGGACTTGAGAGTATTGTATGAAGATTGAATTGAACTGGGGTTCACTGCATTTTTATGTTGTATGTAATTAGTAAGCATAAAGTTCTGATTTTGCTTAGTTATGTGATGGATAATATAACTATCAATATTAGATTTCTTCTTATCAATTTTCTAGTAGAGTTGTTAATTTGGCTCAGACTCGATAAAATTTGATTCGCTAAAACTCAAAATAGATTTTAAGTAATTTTTTACAACTCTACTTGTTAAGGTTTGAGTTCGACTCGTTAAGACTCGAGTTCGATTCGCTAATATTGATTAGCAGAGTTTGAACTCGTTTATAAGCTCGACTCGATAAAGACTGGGTCCAAACTCTAGTATCAGAACTCAAGAGTTCAACCTTGACTGAGTTGACTCAGTTTGTTTAAGCCTTATTTCCTAGGCAAGAAGGTAGATTCACATTCAACAAATAAATAAAGCCAACTTTAAGTTAACAAAAACTCTTAAATAAAAACATGTAGTTTATTTTCTTGCCTTATACTAAATCATATGTTATCCATTTTAGCTCATACTTTTGATTTTGAATTAATTTTAACGATTAGTTATTTAATACAAAGTGAAAGATAATGAAAAGAGAGAGATTTCATTTAATACTACCTACTAGTGGTTAGCTTAGTTGAAGAGCTAAATATATTAATATTCGACCTGTGCATTTGCATAGATGATGTAAATAAAGTATTATGAGTTATTTGTAAATATATAGTATTAAAATTATAAGTTAGATAATGGTATTATATTTTAAACATAAAGAATTATAAATTATATTTATGCATATAATATTCAAATTATAAGTTAGATAATGCTATTATGTTTAAAATTTAATCATTAGTTAAAATAAATAGTACTTAACGATTTGATTGCATATGAATCACTATATCGCTTGCATACAATGTAATAGATAATATAATTTTTATTGTAATTATGAGAGATTATGACCAAATAGTTGAAAAATATTAAAATTTATTATAACACTTGCTTATGCAATTTTAAGGAATTTTATTATGACATAAAATAAATTAATTTATTTAAAAAATAATCACTTAATCAGAAAAACAATCACTTACATTGTGTTTATCAGATAGGATTAATGTATATTTAAAAACAATCACTTATTGATTTATTTAAAAAAAATCATTTCTTTGCAGGCTAAATTTACAATTAAAGGAGTTGAAATATTTTATTTTTTAAATTGTGTTTATCAGATAGGATTAATGTATATTTTGATATGTAATTTTTTTGTGAATGATTTATTATTTCTTTAGGAATTTCAAATACGTTTTTTATTTTCCAAAAAAAGTTAATTTAATTGTAACAACAATAGCAACATCTAATCACATTATACGGTCAACAAATTATATTGTCAACTGTCAATAATCAAAAGTTTAAAATGATTTTTGTAATTTTGAAGTTATTAATATGTTGAATATCTAATAATTAAATGAAAGGTTAAATAAATCAGAAGTAACAGTTTTTTGAGAAAAATAGTTAAATTGCCACGTAGGTAAAATTTAATAAGTTTTATTAAATGCTATGAGCCAGTAATTATATATATATATATATAGGAACTTCATGATTGTAACTAATAATTGAACTTCATGATTAAAGTAGTTGATCCAAGTGCTTCCTTAGATACTACTACTAGGGCTAATTAGGAACCACTTTTAACTATACCAGATAAAATAATTAAATAAATGTGAAGATGGCATCTCAAACAACTGAAAAAAAAAACCCTTGAAAAAACTAAAATTTCAGATGAAAAGATCAAAACTTTGAAAAATCAACAAGTCCGAAGATTCAATATTGGAATTTTGACCATATCACACCCTTTAATTTCAAAGGATCACATTCACATCAGTACTTAGGCTAAACTCTCATTGGCTGTGTGTGACTGTGTGTTGCAAATGGAGATTGACTTGAACAACATTGACTTTGTTAAGGAATCTAATGAAGAGAATCTCCAGTCATCCAGCGCATATAATATCAAATTTGTCCTCGTTTGCCGCCTGCTAGCTGCAAATGAACATCGGACAATTAATATTAATATGCTCAAGTCTTGGTCAATTTCAATAATTCCGTGATTGTATTGCTTGTGAATTTACAACAGTTAGCCTTTACTACACATGTTTTTGCGACCATAGAACAAAGAAAAATCAAAGTCAACCTTTTTGATCGAGTCATCATATGTTCGTAAGTCGAGCTCATCTCAGAAGCCATAGCTAGCCAAGTCCATAAAACCTGCAATCGACCGAGTATGCATGATAACGACAGTTACGAACAATCATGGTTGCAATAATTGAAGGATCTGGTTTTTTTGTTCCGTACATTCTTATACTTCTTGTCTTGTTTTCCAATCATCACTTGATCAACTGTCACGAAGAAAAAGTTTCGGAACAAATAACGGTCATCGACATTGGTGTAGTTCGAAACCCAAAATCGCCTTTCGGTGAGATGATAAATTTGTGCTTAGAGATGGCAATTTCAGATTTTTACACAGCAAATCCCGACTACAAGACAAGATTACGCTTGCGGACTAAGGAAGCGGAAGACACGCTCGGCATTAGTCTTGCAGGTGCACATATTAATTTACTCTGCCATTCGACTTTAAATGTACTTTGCAAAAATTCAGCCTTTTTCAATTTGGTTTAAGTTTTAACACACACACAATAAATTAATCTTAGTTTTGCACAATTTAATTACAAATGCAGCTCTACACTTAGTGCAGCAAGAACAAGTGCATGCAATCTTATGGCATCACGAACCAGAGCAAGCAGAGACTTTTGTCGTCGAGCTCGGCCGAAAATCCCGAGTCCCGATAATCTCTTTCACCTCAACCACCGAAGCCGACTTTCCCACCCCACAAAACCCTTACCTCGTCCGGGCTTCCCTAGACGACTCGGTCCAAGCTCGGGCGCTAACGTCCGTTTTCCGAGAATTCGCGTGGAAAAACGCCGTAATTCTATACGAAGACTCCGTCGCCGGCCGCCGATTCCTCTCTCGCCTGAACGCCGCGCTCCGGGACATCGAAATCGCGCTTTCCGATGCCGTGGCCGTGCCTCCGTCCACCGACGGGGCCCACATCCTCAGCGACGAGCTGGCCGCGCTTAACGAGAACCAGACGGTCAAGGTTTTCCTAGTCCATGCGGGCCCCGCGCTCGGGTCCCGGTTGTTCGCCGCTGCCGATGAGGTCGGCATGATGCGCGACGAGCATGCGTGGATAGTCGCGGGCGCGATGTCCGACTCCATGATGAGCTCAGTCGCTATTCGAGACGCTCATCGGGAGTCGATGGAAGGAGCCGTGGGCGTGAGGGCCCGCGTTCCATCTTCGGACGAGCTCGAAAAGTTTCGAGAGAGGTGGAGAATAAAAAGCACGATTATGAAGATCGAGAAAGAGAAGGAAGACGGTTATTCGTGGAGGATAATGGACTTGAATGTTCGCGGGCTTTTAGCTTACGACACGGTGACCGCGTTAGCAACCGCGGTGGAGAAGATCGTGCGGTCGAACGCGAGCTCTGCTTTTGGCCCCCAACTTCGAGAAGAAATGTTTAGCATCCGAGTCGAGGGTTTGAGCGGAGAGTTTGAGATATCGAACGGGACGCTAAAGCCCTCGGCGTTAGAGATATTCAACGTCGTGGGAAGTGGAGAACGGAGGTTAGGATTTTGGACGCCCGAGAACGGGATAGTAAGAGATTTGGATCCAAAGCCGGTTAAAGAACTTAAAAGAATCGTGTGGCCGGGAGATTCCGCGATGAAGCCAAAGGGGTGGGTTGTACCACCGACGGGTCCCGTTAGGATTGGAGTTCCGTGGAAACCGGGATACACGGAGTTTTTGAAGGTGAAGATTGACGACGAAACGAAACAAGTCGAGGCAACCGGGTTTGTTATCGATATCTTCTTGGCAACGTTGAAGGTGTTGCCTTTTCCGATCAATTACACGTTCGTTTGCTACAACGGAACGGGTGATCCGGATTGGAAATATGACGACATGCTTGCCGGGATACCAGAAAAGGTATCCTACATTAATTTCATCTATCAAATTAAATTGCTTGCGTCGTAGAATATTAATCGAATATTTTCCCTATGTTTGCGACAGAAATTCGACATGGTGGTTGGGGACACGACGATTCTCTCTTCACGAGCATCGTACGTTGATTATTCGCTACCCTATGCGGAATCGGGACTCGTTCATCTCGTCAAGAATGAGAAGCCATTCGACATGTGGATTTTCACCAAGCCATTGAGGTGGGATTTGTGGCTGGCAATCACACTGTCATGTGTGATCATGGGATCGGTTATCTGTGTTCTCGAACGCGGGATTACTAATCCTGCCCCCGTCGAGCGACCCATAACGGTCTGTTTGGCTCTCATAGAAGTCCTGGCTTTCCAAGAAAGTAAACACGTCTTTTCAAATTTCACTCCATTCATATGCTAATATATATGTCTATCCCAAACTAAGAACTTAGGTACTCATAATATTCTTCCAGAAAATAAGGTATCGAGCAAATGGTCGTTCTGCATGTTGATTTGCTGGTCGGTTGTGGCGTTCATACTGATGCAGAGCTTCACGGCCAACTTGTCGGCCATCCTGACCGTCGATCAGCTGGTCGAGTTCCCGGACCACAATTGCTACATCGGGTACCAAGGCGCATCGTTCGTCAAGTCATTTCTGGTCGAGCGCCTAAAATACAACGAGACTCGACTCAAAAGTTACACGTCCCCTGACGAGTTCCACCAGGCATTGCGAAAAGGGAGCAAGAACGGCGGCGTGGACATCGTGATAGACGAGATTCCGTACGCGAAACTTCTCATAAATCGATACGACTCGAGGTACAAGGTTTACGGTCAGACTTACAGAATCGAAGGCCTCGGCTTCGTAAGTACTTTTTTTTTTCGAAACGATAGATATATTAAATAACAAAAATAATTACAAACTAAACAAAAGCTAATATCGCTACATATATAAAAAAATCTATAAAAGTTGAAATGTTGAATCTAAGAAAACTGCACAAAATAAAAATAAATGTACCAAATTGCAAATTAAAAAGTGGTGGGTCGTTTTTCAGGCATTTCCGGTGGGGTCGCAACTGGCACCTTATTTCTCGCGAGCTATACTAAACGTGACGCAAGGTCCGGAGATGACGTTCATCGAGCAGAAGAATTTTGGGCCGGGCTATTCGTCACAAGACCCGCTGTCGTCCACCCTGTCACAGGGGACGTCCAGCCTGTCTTTCTACGACTTTGCAGGTCTCTTTAGTATTGTGGGGTCGCTAACTTTGGCAGCTGTTGCCTGGTCCGAGAGGGCCGCTGTCTTTGCTGCGATGGGTTATGTAAGACAAGTCGTTGGCAACGTTGCATATTACACGCTTTACAGCTCTAATTAGGTAATTCGTTTGTAGTATTGTACATGCACCAAAAGACATGATGGGATTTATGAGTCATTGGATACTATGTATGTGTTGGTTGGATGATGTTGAAAGAATTTTTTTTTTTTTTATTTTTTATTTTTTTTTATTTTATGAAATGTAACGATCGGTGTCGAAATAATATGGAATAGTAAAATACGTGGATTGATAATTAGTCAGAAGCAATCTATTTTTCATACTTATTGCAACTTATCTATATTTGATATGTTAGTATGACATTTTTCATATATTTTTTTTAAGTATATCATTTTAATATTGAAATCTGTCTTATCCCCCTCTGTATAATTCTTGATTGTGCAAGTCTCCACTATCTATATAACAATCTTTGATGATTGCGCAAGTTTCCACTGTCTATATCACAATATTTCATACATCTTTATCGAGAACAGGCAAATAAACCAGATCACTCCGCTTACAACCTAAAAATGGAGGACGAAGGCTTCTCATTCCACTAAAGGTTTCATTGAAAAATAACCTTGTGCTGTTAAGGCCGGCAGCTCCTGGCATTCCCGTCTTCGTGACTGCTTCAAGTCTCGGACTCATCTTAGACCCCAATATTACATTCACAACATTCAGCCGGCTCAAAATTGCTGAGGCAATTCGATGAGCCATTTTGGCGGTCATGAGCCGATTAATAGGAAGTCCAAGGGTGGGAGAGATTTTCAGCGAGATCAAACACAACAAGGAATAATATTCCAATATAGTCAGACCACTTGACTTGCCGTGCTGTGTCCAATCTGATGTAAACTGGTGAGTAAAACCGCTTCCCCCTCGATGATAGTCATGTACAACAACAAGCGACACGTATTCGATAGGCTCCAAATCATGCTCATCAAAAGTATAATTTGGCAATGGGATGTTCGGCTGCACATTCCTTTTACCCCTCCCCCCCTCCCCCCCTCTATCGGGATAGGAAATGAGGAATGAAGCGTGTGATCTAAATCTTGTTGGAAGGATATATTAACTTCTTGGTTGGAGGGTATACAAGATCATACTCAAATTTGCGGCCTTTCTCTGATTGGTTCAACCCGGACTGCTGCTTGTTGAACTTCAGTTTTAGGATCGCATTATGAGCATGATGCAAGCAATTAAGTCTAAAAAGAAGGAATTAATTAGCGTAACAAAAAGTGAGACTGAATCAATTATAAAATATACATATTTACTATATTTTCATTAATTCACTAATTTAATTGAGCATTAGCTACACACAATCAATACATTTTTATTAATTCACTAATTTAATTGAGCATTAGTTACACACAATCAACTCAACTGGGCATCATAAACGCATTAATAATAAATGCATGAACAAAGAGCATAATAAATCCCTGATATCTTATACTAAGGTAAAAACTCAGAAATCAAGCCACTGTTCAAGCCATAAAAACTCTTTGTTAATACCTCATTACTCTTACATACTCCACTGTTCTTGGCCATAAAAGTGCCTGATATCTTATACCAAGGTTCATCTCTTTGAATCAAAATTCATGATTGATTAATCAAGGCATGAATATCTTTATTAAACATTTAGTTTTTTTTTTCGTCAATGCTGAATGTAAAGAACAATAGAAGTTGAGAATGATTAATGTAAGCTGCATCTCAAGATCTGATTTCCTGGGACTGGAACCACCATTGGGGGAATCGCCGGCGTTGAGACCATTGAGGAAATCGCCAGTTTTGAGGTCGCAGGCAACGCGGAAAGCAGCGTCGAGGGAGTCACGGCTTCGACCATATCGGGGAGCACGGCTGAGGGGGTATCGCAGGCGTTGAGACCATTGAGGGAATCGCCAGCTTTAAGGTCGCAGGCAACGCCGAAAGCAGCGTCGAGGGAGTCACGACCGCGACCACATCGGGGAGCACGGTTGAGGAGATCTCGGCCGTCACATCTCGCCCTCAGAGAAATGAGAGGTGTAATGACACTAGGAAAAGGAGGGCGACAGAGTCACGGCCGCGACCACCAGTAAAGCGATAATGGGGAGCACGGCCGTCGCATCGCGCCCTCAGAGAATCGTGAGGCAGTTTGCTGCTGAGAGACATTTCTGATTCAATAAGTTTCCAAAGAGATGATTTACAATTGATTAGGGTTTATAACTTTGTTTTATATGTGTACCAGAGTACTCTTTTTTTTTGTTTTATATGTGTACCAGAGTACTCAACTACCGAAGCCGATTTTCCCACCCCACAAAACCCTTACCTTATGCGGGCTTCCCTAGACGACTCGGCCCAAGCTCGGGCCCTCGCGTCCGTTTTCCGGGACGCCAGAATCGCACTTTCCGACACCGTGGCCGCGCCTCCGTCCGCCGGCGGGGCCCACATGCTCAGCGACGAGCTGGCCGTGCTTAACAAGAACCAGATGGTCAAGGTCTTTCTAGTCCACGTGGGCCCCGCGCTCGGGTCCCGATCGTTCTCCGCAGCCGATGAGGTTGGCATGATGCGCGACGAGCACGCGTGGATAGTCGCGGGCACGATGTCTGACTCCATGATGAGCTCCGTCGATATTCGAGACGCTCATCGGGAGTAGATCGAAGGAGCCGTGGGCGTGAGGGCCCGCATTTCTCCTTCGTACAAGCTCGGAAAGTTCCGAGAGAGGTGGAGAATAAAAAGCACGATTATGAAGATCGAGAAAGAGAAGGAAGATGGTTATTCGTGGTGGATAATGGACTTGAATGTTCGCGAGCTTTGGGCTTACGACACGGTGACCGCGTTGGCAATCGCGGTAGAGAAGATCGTGCAGTCGAACGCGAGCTCTGCTTTTGGCCCCCGACTTTAAGAAGAAATGTTTAGCATCTGAGTCGAGGGTTTGAGCGGAGGGTTTGAGATATCGAACGGTACGCTAAAGCCCTCGATGTTAGAGATATTCAACGTCGTGGGAAGTGGAGAACGGAGGTTAGGATTTTGGACACCTGAGAACGGGATAGTAGGAGATTTGGATCCAAAGCCGGTTAAAGAACTTAAAAGAATCGTGTGGCCGGGAGATTCCGCGACGAAGCCAAAGGGGTGGGCCGTACCATCGGCGGGTCCCGTTAGGATTGGAGTTTCGTGGAAACCGGGATACACGGAGTTTGTGAAGGTGAAGATTGACGACGAAACGAAACAAGTCGAGGCAACTGGGTTTGTTATCGATATCTTCTTGGCAACGTTGAAGATGTTGCCTTTTCCGATCAATTACACGTTTGTTTGCTACAACGGTACGGGTGATCCGGATTGAAAATATGATGACATGCTTTTCGGGATACCGGAAAAGGTATCCTACATTAATTTCATCTATCAAATTAAATTGCTTGCGTCGTAGAATATTAATCGAATATTTTCCCTATGTTTGCGACAGAAATTCGACATGGTGGTTGGGGACACGACGATTCTCTCTTCACGAGCATCGTACGTTGATTATTCGCTACCCTATGCGGAATCGGGACTCGTTCATCTCTTCAAGAATGAGAAGCCATTCGACACGTGGATTTTCACAAAGACATTGAGGTGGGATTTGTGGCGGCGTGGACATCGTGATAGACGAGATTCCGTACGCGAAACTTCTCATTAATTGATACGACTCGAGGTACAAGGTTTACAGGCAGACTTGCAGAATCGAAGGCCTCGGCTTCGTAAGTACTTTTTTTTTTCGAAAAGATAGATATATTAAATAATAAAAATAATTACAAACCAAACAAAAGCTAATATCGCTACGTATATAAAAAATCTATAAAAGTTGAAATGTTGAATCTAAGAAAACTGCACAAAATAAAAGTTAATGTACCAAATTGCAAATTAAAAAGTGGTGGGTCGTTTTTCAGGCATTTCCGGTGGGGTCGCCACTGGCACCGTATTTCTCGCGAGCTATACTAAACGTGACGCAAGGTCCGGAGATGACGTTCATTGAGCAGAAGAATTTCGGGCCGTGCAAATTCGTCACAAGACCCACTGTCGTCCACCCTATCACAGAGGACGTCCAGCCTGTCTTTCTACGACTTTGCAGGTTTCTTTAGTATTGTGGGGTCGCTAACTGTGGCAGCTAATGCCTGGTCCGAGAGTGCCGCTGTCTTTGCTGCGATGGGTTATGTAAGACAAGTCGTTGGCAACGTTGCATATTACAGGCTTTACAGCTTTAATTGGGTAATTCGTTTATAGTATTGAACATGAACCAAAAAACATGATGGGATTTATGGGTCATTAGATACTATGTATTTGTTGGTTGTATAATGTTGAAAGGATTTTTTTTTTTTTTTTTTTTTTTTTTTTTTTTTTTTATTTTATGAAATGTAACGATCGGTGTCGAAATAACATGGAATAGTAAAATACGTGGATTGATAACTAGTCAGAAGCAATCTATTTTTCATACTTATTGCAATGTATCTATATTTAATATGTTAGTATGACATTTTTCATATATTTTCTTTAAGTATATCATTTTAACATTAAAATCTGTCTTATCCCCCTCTGTATAATTCTTGATTGTGCAAGTCTCCACTATATATATAACAATCTTTGATGATTGCACAAGTTTCCTTGTCTATATCATAATCTTTAATACCTCTTTATCGATAACAGACAAATAAACCAGATCACTCCGCTTACAACCTAAAAATGGAGGACGAAGGCTTCTCATTCCACTAAAGGTTTCATTGAAAAATAACCTTGTGCTGTTAAGGCCGACAGCTTCTGGCACTCCCGTCTTCGTGACTACTTCAAGTCTCAGACTCATCTTAGACCCCAATATTACATTCACAACATTCAGCCGGCTCAAAATTGCTGAGGATATCCGATGAGCCCTTTTGGCGGTCATGAGCCGATTAATAGGAAGTCCAAGGGTGGGAGAGATTTTCAGCAAGATCAAACACAACAAGGAATAATATTCCAATATAGTCAGACCACTTGACTTGCCGTGCTGTGTCCAATCTGATGTAAACTGTTGAGTAAAACCGCTTCCCCCTCGATGATAGTCATGTACAACAACAAGCGACACGTATTCGATAGGCTCCAAATCATGCTCATCAAAAGTATAATTTGGCAATGGGATGTTCGGCTGCACATTCCTTTTACCCCTCCCCCCCTCCCCCCCTCTATCGGGATAGGAAATGAGGAATGAAGCGTGTGATCTAAATCTTGTTGGAAGGATATATTAACTTCTTGGTTGGAGGGTATACAAGATCATACTCAAATTTGCGGCCTTTCTCTGATTGGTTCAACCCGGACTGCTGCTTGTTGAACTTCAGTTTTAGGATCGCATTATGAGCATGATGCAAACAAGTCTAAAAAGAAGGAATTAATTAGCGTAACAAAAAGTAAGACTGAATCAATTATGAAATATACATATTTACTATATTTTCATTAATTCACTAATTTAATTGAGCATTAGCTACACACAATCAATATTTTTTTAATTAATTCACTAATTTAATTGAGCATTAGTTACACACAATCAACTCAACTGGGCATCATAAACGCATTAATGATAAATGCATGAACAAAGAGCATAATAAATCCCTGATATCTTTTACCAAGGTAAAAACTCAGAAATCAAGCCACTGTTCAAGCCATAAAAACTCTTTGTTAATACCTCATTACTCTTACAAACTCCACTGTTCTTGGCCATAAAAGTGCTTGATATCTTATACCAAGGTTCATCTCTTTTAATCAAAATTCATGATTGATTAATCAAGGCATGAATATCTTTATTAAACATTTAGTTTTTTTTTTCGTCAATGCTGAATGTAAAGAACAATAGAAGTTGAGAATGATTAATGTAAGCTGCATCTCAAGATCTGATTTCCTGGGACTGGAACCACCATTGGGGGAATCGCCGGCGTTAAGACCATTGAGGGAATCGCCAGCTTTGAGGTCGCAGGCAACGCGGAAAGCAGCGCCGAGGGAGTCACGGCTTCGACCACATCGGGGAGCACGGCTGAGGGGGTATCGCCGGCGTTGAGACCATTGAGGGAATCGCCAGCTTTAAGGTCGCAGGCAACGCCGAAAGCAGCGCCGAGGGAGTCACGACCGCGACCACATCGGGGAGCACGGGTGAGGAGATCTCGGCCGTCACATCTCGCCCTCAGAGAAATGAGAGGTGTAATGGCAGCAGAGAAAGGAGGGCAGACAAAGTCACGGCCGCGACCACTAGTAAAGCGACAATGGAGAGCACGGCCGTCGCATCGCGCGCTCACAGAATCGCGAGGCAGTTTGCTGCTGAGAGACATTTCTGATTCAATAAGTTTCCAAAGAGATGATTTACAATTGATTAGGGTTTATAACTTTGTTTTATATGTGTACCAGAGTACTCAACTACCGAAGTCGATTTTCCCACCCCACAAAACCCTTACCTTATGCGGGCTTTCCTAGACGACTCGGGCCAAGCTCGGGCCCTCGCGTCCGTTTTCCGAGAATTTGCATGGAAAAATGTTGTAATTCTCTACAAAGACTCCGCTGTCGGCCGTCGGTTCCTCTCCCGCCTGAGTGCCGCGTTCCGGGACGCCAGAATCGCGCTTTCCGACACCGTGGCCGCGCCTCCGTCCGCCGGCGGGGCCCACATGCTCAGCGACGAGCTGGCCGCGCTTAATAAGAACCAGATGGTCAAGGTCTTTCTAGTCCACGTGGGCCCCGCGCTTGGGTCCCGGTCGTTCGCCGCGGCCGATGAGGTTGGCATGATGCGCGACGAGCACGCGTGGATAGTCGCGGGCGCTGTCTGACTCCATGATGAGCTCCGTCGATATTCGAGACGCTCATCGGAAGTAGATGAAAGGAGCCGTGGGCGCATGGGCCCGCATTTCTCCTTCGTACAAGCTCGGAAAGTTCTGAGAAAGGTGGAGAATAAAAAGCACGATTATGAAGATCGAGAAAGAGAAGGAAGATGGTTATTCGTGGAGGATAATGGACTTGAATGTTCGCGAGCTTTGGGCTTACGACACGGTGACCGCGTCAGCAATCGCGGTAGAGAAGATTGTGCGGTCGAACGCGAGCTCTGCTATTGGCCCCTGACTTTGAGAAGAAATGTTTAGCATCTGAGTCGAGGGTTTGAGATATCGAACGGTACGCTAAAGCCCTCGACGTTAGAGATATTCAACGTCGTGGGAAGTGGAGAACGGAGGTTAGGATTTTGGACACCCGAGAATGGGATAGTAAGAGATTTGGATCCAAAGCCGGTTAAAGAACTTAAAAGAATCATGTGGCCGGGCGATTCCGCGATGAAGCCAAAGGGGTGGGCCGTACCACCGGCAGGTCCCGTTAGGATTGGAGTTTCGTGGAAACCGGGATACACAGAGTTTTTGAAGGTGAAGATTGACGACGAAACGAAACAAGTCGAGGCAACTGGGTTTGTTATCGATATCTTCTTGGCAACGTTGAAGATGTTGCCTTTTCCGATCAATTACACGTTCGTTTGCTACAACGGTACGGGTGATCCGGATTGGAAATATGACGACATGCTTTCTGGATAACCAGATTGCACAAGTTTCCTTGTCTATATCATAATCTTTAATACCTCTTTATTGATAACAGACAAATAAACCAGATCACTTTGCTTACAACCTAAAAATGGAGGACGAAGGCTTCTCATTCCAGTAAAGGTTTCATTGAAAAATAACCTTATGCTGTTAAGGCCGACAGCTTCTGACATTCCCGTCTTCGTGACTACTTAAAGTCTCGGACTCATCTTAGACCCCAATATTACATTCACAACATTCAGCCGGCTCAAAATTGCTGAGGATATCCGATGAGCCCTTTTGGCGGTCATGAGCCGATTAATAGGAAGTCCAAGGGTGGGAGAGATTTTCAGCGAGATCAAACACAACAAGGAATAATATTCCAATATAGTCAGACCACTTGACTTGCCCTGCTGTGTCCAATCGGATGTAAACTGGTGAGTAAAACCGCTTCCCCCTCGATGATAGTCATGTACAACAACACGCAACACGTATTCGATAGGCTCCAAATCATGCTCATCAAAAGTATAATTTGGCAATGGGATGTTCGGCTGCACATTCCTTTTACCCTTCAGCCGGCTTAAAATTGCTGAGGATATCGGATGAGCCATTTTGGCGGTCATGAGCCGATTAATAGGAAGTCCAAGGGTGGGAGAGATTTTCAGCGAGATCAAACACAACAAGGCCCCCTCTGCACTTTACTTATACCCCTCTCTCGGGATAGGAAATGAGGAATGAAGCGTGTGATCTAAATCTTGTTGGAAGGATATATTAACTTTTTGGTTGGAGGGTATACAAGATCATACTCAAATTTGTGGCCTTTCTCTAATTGATTCAACTCGGACTGCTGCTTGTTGAACTTCATTTTTAGGATCGCATTATGAGCATGATGCAAGCAAGTCTAAAAAGAAGGAATTAAACATTTAGTTTTTTTTTCGTAAATGCTGAATGTAAAGAACAATAGAAGTTGAGAATGATTACTGTAAGCTGCATCTCAAGATCTGATTTCCTGGGACTGGAACCACCATTGGGGGAATCACCGGCGTTGAGACCATTGAGGGAATCGCCAGCTTTGAGGTCGCAGGCAACGCGGAAAGCAGCGCCGAGGGAGTCACGGCCTCGACCACATCGGGGAGCACGGCTGAGGGGGTATCGCCGGCGTTGAGACCATTGAGGGAATCGCCAGCTTTAAGGTCGCAGGCAACGCCGAAAGCAGCGCCGAGGGAGTCACGACCTCGACCACATCGGGGAGCACGGTTGAGGAGATCTCGGCCATCACATCTCGCCCTCAGAGAAATGGGAGGTGTAATGGCACTAGGGAAAGGAGGGCCGACGGAGTCACGGCCGCGACCACCAGTAAAGCGACAATGGGGAGCACGGCCGTCGCATCGCGCCCTCAGAGAATCGTGAGGCAATTTGCTGCTGAGAGACATTTCTGATTCAATAAGTTTCCAAAGAGATGATTTACAATTGATTAGGGTTTATAACTTTGTTTTATATGTGTACCAGAGTAATCTTTTTTTTGTTTTATATGTGTACCAGAGTACTCAACTACCGAAGCCGATTTTCCCACCCCACAAAACCCCTACCTTATGCGGGCTTCCCTAGACGACTCGGCCGAAGCTCGGGCCCTCGCGTCCGTTTTCCGGGAATTTGCATGGAAAAACGCCGTAATTCTCTACAAAGACTCCGCCGCCGGCCGTCGGTTCCTCTCCCGCCTGAACGCCGCGTTCCGGGACGCCAGAATCGCGCTTTCCGACACCGTGGCCGCGCCTCCGTCCACCGGCGGGGCCCACATGCTCAGCGATGAGCTGTCCGCGCTTAACAAGAACCAGATGGTCAAGGTCTTTCTAGTCCACGTGGGCCCCGCGCTTGGGTCCCGGTCGTTCGCCGCGGCCGATGAGGTTGGCATGATGCGCGACGAGCACGCGTGGATAGTCGCGGGCGCGATGTCTGACTCCATGATGAGCTCCGTCGATATTCGAGACGCTCATCGGGAGTAGATGAAAGGAGCCGTGGGCGTGAGGGCCCGCATTTCTCCTTCGTACAAGCTCAAAAAGTTCCGAGAGAGGTGGAGAATAAAAAGCACGATTATGAAGATCGAGAAAGAGAAGGAAGATGGTTATTCGTGGAGGATAATGGACTTGAATGTTCGCGAGCTTTGGGCTTACGACACGGTGACCGCGTTAGCAATCGCGGTAGAGAAGATCGTGCGGTCGAACGCGAGCTCTGCTTTTGGCCCCCGACTTTGAGAAGAAATGTTTAGCATCTGAGTCGAGGGTTTGAGATATCGAACGATACGCTAAAGCCCTCGACGTTAGAGATATTCAACGTCGTGGGAAGTGGAGAACGGAGGTTAGTATTTTGGACACCCGAGAACGGGATAGTAAGAGATTTGGGTCCAAAGCCGGTTAAAGAACTTAAAAGTTGGCCGAGAGATTCCGCGACGAAGCCAAAGGGGTAGTCCGTACCACCGGCGGGTCCCGTTAGGATTGGAGTTTCGTGGAAACCGGGATACACGGGGTTTTTGAAGGTGAAGATTGACGACAAAACGAAACAAGTCGAGGCAACTGGGTTTGTTATCGATATCTTCTTGGCAACGTTGAAGATGTTGTCTTTTCCAAACAATTACACGTTCGTTTGCTACAACGGTATGGGTGATCCGGATTGGAAATATGACGGCATGCTTTCCGGGATACCGGAAAAGATATCCTACCTTAATTTCATCTATCAAATTAAATTGCTTGCGTCGTAGAATATTAATCAAATATTTTCCATATGTTTGCGACAGAAATTCGACATGGTGGTTGGGGACACGACGATTCTCTCTTCACGAGCATCGTACGTTGATTATTCGCTACCCTATGCGGAATCGGGACTCGTTCATCTCGTCAAGAATGAGAAGCCATTCGACACGTGGATTTTCACCAAGCCATTGAGGTGGGATTTGTGGCGGCGTGGACATCGTGATAGACGAGATTCCGTAAGCGAAACTTCTCATAAATTGATACGACTCGAGGTACAAGGTTTACAGTCAGACTTACAGAATCGAAGGCCTCGGCTTCGTAAGTACTTTTTTTTTTTTCGAAAAGATAGATATATTAAATAACAAAAATAATTACAAACCAAACAAAAGCTAATATCGCTACATATATAAAAAAATCTATAAAAGTTGAAATGTTGAATCTAATAAAACTGCACAAAATAAAAGTTAATGTACCAAATTGCAAATTAAAAAGTGGTGGGTCGTTTTTCAGGCATTTCCGGTGGGGTCGCCGCTGGCACTGTATTTCTCGCGAGCTATACTAAACGTGACGCAAGGTCCGGAGATGACATTCATCGAGCAGAAGAATTTTGGGCCGTGCTAATTCGTCACAAGACCCACTGTCGTCCACCCTGTCACAGAGGACGTCCAGCCTGTCTTTCTACGACTTTGCAGGTTTCTTTAATATTGTGGGGTCGCTAACTGTGGCAGCTGTTGCCTGGTCCGAGAGGGACGCTGTCTTTGCTGCAATGGGTTATGTAAGACAAGTCGTTGGCAACGTTGCATATTACAGGCTTTACAGCTTTAATTGGGTAATTCGTTTATAGTATTGAACATGAACCAAAAAACATGATGGGATTTATGGGTCATTAGATACTATGTATTTGTTGGTTGTATAATGTTGAAAGGATTTTTTTTTTTTTTTNATGTAACGATCGGTGTCGAAATAACATGGAATAGTAAAATACGTGGATTGATAATTAGTCAGAAGCAATCTATTTTTCATACTTATTGCAATGTATCTATATTTGATATATTAGTATGACATTTTTCATATATTTTCTTTAAGTATATCATTTTAATATTAAAATCTGTCTTATCCCCCTCTGTATAATTCTTGATTGTGCAAGTCTCCACTATCTATATAACAATCTTTGATGATTGCACAAGTTTCCTTGTCTATATCACAATCTTTCATACCTCTTTATCAATAACAGACAAATAAACCCGATCACTCCGCTTACAACCTAAAAATGGAGGACGAAGGTTTCTCATTCCACTAAAGGTTTCATTGAAAAATAACCTTATGCTGTTAAGGCCGACAGCTTCTAGCATTCCCGTCTTCGTGACTGCTTCAAGTCTCGCACTCATCTTAGACCCCAATATTACATTCACAACATTCAACCGGCTCAAAATTGCTGAGGCAATCCAATGAGCCCTTTTGGCGGTCATGAGCCGATTAATAAGAAGTCCAAGGGTGGGAGAAATTTTCAGCGAGATCAAACACAACAAGGGATAATATTCCAATATAGCCAGACCACTTGACTTGCCGTGCTGTGTTCAATCGGATGTAAACTGGTGAGTAAAACCGCTTCCCCCTCGATGATAGTCAGGTACAACAACACGCAACACGTGTTCGATAGGCTCCAAATCATGCTCATCAANTTCTTTTTACCCCCCTCTGCACTTTACTTATACCCCTCTCTCGGGATAGGAAATGAGGAATGAAGCGTGTTATCTAAATCTTGTTGGAAGGATATATTAACTTCGTGGTTGGAGGGTATACAAGATCATACTGAAATTTGCGGCCTTTCTCTGATTGATTCAACCCGGACTGCTGCTTGTTGAACTTCAGTTTTAGGATCGCATTATGAGCATGATGCAAACAAGTCTAAAAAGAAGGAATTAATTAGCGTAACAAAAAGTGAAACTGAATCAATTATAAAATATACATATTTACTATATTTTCATTAATTCACTAATTTAATTGAGCATTAGCTACACACAATCAATATAATTCACTAAAAATATTTTTTTCAATATTTGGAACTAAATTTGCAACACGGTCAATTTTATGAGACTAAATTTACAATTTCTTCATTTTTCAACCTAACGACCAATGGCCATGTGACTCGCATGTGACACCCCCGTTAAAATTAACGGCTTTGAGATTACTTTTGCAACAAATAAAGTTAATGACTGATTTCCACCGAGTAGGATTAATTTTGCAATGGACCCAACCCTACGGGACGAAATTTGGAATGACTATTCTCCCACTATTGTTAAAGATAATTTTATTTTTGCAAATATTCAAATTTAGAGAGGACTTTTTTTCAAAATATGTGTCAATTAAAGGACTAATTATCTAATTTTTGCAAAAAAAACAATGGCGTCCTCTACTTCTCGTCTCAAAAACTACTCAGCTGCGGTCGCTACAGTCATGCACCGGCTATCAGTCAAGTTTCAACGCGTCGAACTCGAGCAAGACCTTATATTTGTTTGTTAGAAGAGCACAAGCTAAAATATGTGTTACATATCAACAGTGGTTGTATCTTATAAAGTTATCAATAATACTCAAAATAATTCAATATCAACAAATAAACTACTTAAAATAATTTTTTAATATTTAAAAATACACATTTACAAATAAAAAGAGTAAACAAATAAATTGTTTGCAAGTGCAAAGTGCATAGCATTTAACCTTTTTTTTTTCCCGAGACGATAGATAGTTTTATAAATCAAAATGCACAAATGTGCGAATACACAACAGTCAACAACTGAATACACAGCAACCAACAGCTGAAAAAGTGGGAGGACAGGTCAGAAGCCCGCCTAGAATCCCGACTAGCAACGCTAGAATAAAAAAACACACTCACAACTACACTAACCAACAACACAAACAACTAGAAAAACTACAAGGACCCCAACAGGGTAATACCCGAGTGTCGGACCCCAACGGAGTAATAAGTTTGACACCCGGGCTCACAGAGGCCAAACGGCCCAAACCAAAGACACATCCTAAAGCACAAAGACAAACACGAACACAAAAACAAAACATAAAGCACGAAGGACATACAGACTTAAATCTACCAACACACAAAGCCCTTCCCCAGCGGGTAAGCCGAACCGAGCACAAGGCACCGACGAAATAAAGACTATCCATCCCACAGTGTGACCTGAAATCCGAAACACCAATCCCGCCACTGCCTAATGTCTAGCAAAGGACGAGTCCCGAATGTCGAACCACTCCCAAGAGGAAGTCGACCCACAGCCAGAGGAGGATCGATCAGCCCCACCATACAGACCCGCCTCCCGCGATCCGACCAAACACCACTGGTCCGAATCCGGGCCTGTCGGGCATCCAACTCCACAAAACCAGCAAAGTGGACACATGGGCACAAACCAACCGCCTAACCTCGACCGACACGACTCAAACGAGCCAAGCCACCAAGGTCCCACCCAACCCCAACCTCCACTCACCTCCTTGAAGCAACCCACCACGAACCTGGCGCGCAGCGGACGAGTTCCCATCGGTGACCGGTGACCGAGCGGAGAAGAAGCCAACCTACGGCCAGCCCCAAAGCCCCGAAACAGAGAACCAGAAAATGGAACTACTACCAGCGGGAAGGAAGCGGCGAGACTGCCGACGACTTGGGAGAAACCCATCGTCGCAGAAGCACTAGCGAGCGAGAATTGGGCCAGGATGACACAGCTGAAGACCATCCGCCGGCTAAACGGCCGGCGAATCGCCGGGGAAGGCGCGCGATGGACGGAAATTAGGGGAGCAGATGTGAGGGATTTTGGGGATCGACGGAAATTAAGGATTTTGATGCTACTGCACCGTTGAAAAGTCAAATTCACAAGATAGCAAAATGATAGCAAAGTCAAATACACACACATAAAATAATCTTTGAAAAGTCAAATTCACAAGATAGCAAAATGATAGCAAAGTCAAATACACACACATAAAATAATCTTAATAAAAAATATATAAAATATAAGATCACGTTAAATATACGTAATGAAAATAAAAATTATACAAAATACCAAAATAAATTAGTAAAATAACAAAGTATGAAAGTGGTATGAAATACAAAGTCTTGTTAAAAAGAAAAATGAAAAAATGTATGATAAGAGTCGCATCAGTCCAGCAAAATCTCACCAATTTTAAATAACATGTGACTTATGTATAAACTTTAAAAAAATTTTAATTGAATATATAGAGACTTTTATACACTTATAAAAAGTTTTTAAAAGTATCAATTGAATAAAACTAAATTTTTCAAAAGTCCCTAAAAATTCTAATTGAATAAACTAAAATTCTAATTCTTAAAAAGTTTCTAAACGTTAATTGAACCCACTCTTTAATCTATTTTCCAAATAGCAACGAGCAAGTTATTTTTAGCATTTTTTTTTAATTTAAAGTTTTTAGAAACATTTTTAATTTAAAGTTTAATCTTTAGCAACGAGCAGTTTNTTTTTTTTTTTTTTTTTTTTTTTTTTTTTTTTAATTATAATTATAATTTAAAGTTTAAGCTTTAGCAAAGAGCAGGTTTAATTAAAAACTTCTCTCGAAGACTCGAACGCCTCATCCTCTTCCCCCATTTTTCCCCTTTTACCCGAAACCAGTAAACCCTAAATTCCGGCTGAGCAGGGCTCTCCTGCCGGGCGGTGGCGCCACTTCTGCGTCGCTAGCCATCCTCAGGATGTCTCCGGTTCGTGGTTGCTGAAACCGAGTGGTTCTCTTCCATCTGTCCGGATGCCTTGACGGTGGAGGTGGGCGTCGGCTCGTGGGTGGGCCGCGGGGCTTGGGCAGGTGGCTGCGCGCGGCTGTTGGTATGAGGCTGGAGCGTGGTTCTCTCCTCTCCATTCTCGTTTCTCCGGGTGGTGGCTGGGGCTGCGGATGCCGGCAAATGAGGGGGGAAGGCGGTACCACTGGTCTCCTGGAGATGTTCAGTTCAGGGTGGTTTTTTTCAGGAAAGGTTCGGTCCGTCGTTCCAGGTCGAGTCAACCGTAGGGGAGTTTCTTGCAGTGTTGACTATTGTTCAGTTGTCCAGTTGGTGATGTTCCAAGGAAACGGAGACTTTTACTTCTCTAAGTCTTTACCTATCAATTTTGTCTTCATTCTTTCTTCCTTTGCTGAAATACTAGGCAGTCATGCTCGCTCCCAAGTCTTCGTCAACTTTGTTAATGAAATAAAGTCTGTATTTTCTAGGAAGCTAACCAACCTGAGTGTATAAAGACCACGGCCAACGCTGGTCCTTAAGCGAAACAAGAAGAGTTTTTATTGATTAGGATTGAGATACCATGGAACACAGAGCTCAGGGCTGTGGTTTTGTTTTTTCTTGTATTCTTCTTCTTATCTGCTATTCGTGGTTATGTTGTCATGCCTCAGTGGTCAACATTGGTGTGATTCGGAACTTAAGCTCTCCTTTCGGGACTATGATAAATTTGTGCATAGAGATGGCTATCTCAGATTTTTATTCAGCACATCCAAATTACAAGACAAGGTTGGGACTGAGGTTCAAGGATGTACATGACGTGATTGATGTTGATCTTGCTGGTACGTAAGTTACACACGCTCTCTTTCTAAGATTTATTGCTGTTGGAAAGCGTAGAACTCATTTTTACTGTAGTGAAAGAAAAAAATAAAGTGTAGAACTCCTTGTCAAACTAAATGGTATCTAGATAATGTCCTATTTGATGTACTGACACAGTGAAATATGGGCGTTTTATATCAATGAAAAATTTCATGCAGTTCTAGAGTTAGTGGAGCAGGAACGAGTGCACGGAGTTATAGAGTCTCAGGGTTCAGCAGGTGAAACATTTGTTGCCGAACTCGGCAGAAAAGCTCAGGTGCCGATTTTTTCATTTGGTCCAAGAGACTTGCTCCTGCCTGGCTTGGAAAACCCCTACTTTATCAGGACATATGTTGATGATGCAGTTCAAGCACAGGCGCTTGCCGCCATATGCAGGGAATTCATGTGGAAGGAAGCTGTGATCGTCTTTGAGGATACAGACTACGGCTACCAATTTCTATCTCGTCTGAGAAAGGCATTCCGGGATGCTGAAATTGTGCTGGCCCATCTGGCAGCTGTGCCGGTCTCTGTCGACGACGGTCATCTCTCCAAAGTGCTCGAATTCCTGAAGCAAAACATAACAGTCAAGGTCTTTCTGGTGCATGTAGGGCCCACGCTCGGTGTCCGGCTGTTCGCATTCGCTGAGAAGCTTGGTATGATGAGCGAAGGGCATGCATGGGTAATCACTGACAGACTTTCCAACTTTCTGGGTTCTGTGGGCCCATCCGCCCGTGCACTGATGGAAGGCGTGGTGGGGCTGAGGGCCCACGTTCCCTTCTCCAGGGACCTTGAGAGTTTCCGAGAGAGATGGAAAGGGAACGACACGGATTTGAACATCCACGGGCTGTGGGCGTATGATACAGTAACCGCCTTAGCATTTTCGTTAGAGAAGATTGGACAGGAAAATTCGAGAATCCCGTCTCTTGGTCCTCTGTTCCTAAAGGAATTGTCTGGGAATAGGTTCCAAGGCTTGAGCGGAGACTTTGAATTTCTCGAAGGGAGGCTGAAGACCTCGGCAATTGAGATATTCAATGTGGTTGGGAGTGGAGAGAAAAGTCTGGGATCGTGGACACCTGGCGGGGGAATCATGAAGGAACTGAGGAAGGCCATGTGGCCGGGAGATTCCATAAAGCAGCCAAAGGGCTGGTCAGTCCTACCATCGGGAGTGCTCAGAGTTGGGATCCCCTGCAACTCGGGGGCCCCGGAGTTTGTCAATATCTCAACAGCAGCTGGTGATCCTTTGAATGATTCAAATATCAGCGGGTTTGCGGTGGACGTGTTCTTGGCTGCATTACGTGAGCTGCCTACGCCGATCGACCATGGATTCTGTTGTTTTGGTGATGTGGAGAACGCTAATTGGAGTTATGATGACCTGCTTGATCAGATACCCGAGGTGTTTGGCCTTGGAGTTATTTTTTTAATTTTTATATATATATATATAGTTTTATTTTTAAATTTTAAATATTTGACTTTTAACTGCATGAATTGAATCGTTGTCTTGCTGATACAGAAATGTGATATGGTGGTAGCAGATATGACCATTTGGGCTCCACGGACATCACATGTTGACTTCTCGCTGCCCTATCTTGAGTCGGGAATTGTTCTGGTCGTCAAGAAGAAGACAATTGGGATGTGGAGTTTCACCCGGCCGTTGAGGTGGGATCTATGGCTGGCGATCTTTGTGTCGTGTTTATTAATGGGATTAGTTATATCTGTTTTGGAGCGCCGAGAGACCAACAGTCATGCTGAGGGAGATCCATTTGGCATGACATATGTAGCTCCAGTTGCAGTTCTGACTTTCCAAGAAAGTACAATTTTTCCTACTCATGCATGTCATATTTCTTAATATTTGGTCCCCTTGGATTTACTGGAGTGTTTTCATGAAATGGGATCATTTGTTTTTTTATTTCTGTCCAGGGGGTATGGTCTCAAATAATTGCTCGAAATTTGTGCTGGTTTGCTGGGTGTTCATGGCATTCATACTGATGCAGAGCTTCACGGCGAATTTATCAGCTATTCTCACCATTGATCAGCTGAAATTTGCATTTTCCGAGGATTACTACTTGGGCTACCGTTCGAGTTCCTTCACCAAGAAGTTTCTGGTGAGGAATCTGAATATCGATAAATCGAGGCTCAAGCCCTACATTACTGACGAAGAATTCCATGATGCTATGACTAGAGGAAGCAAGAAGGGGGGTGTAGATGCCATCTTTGACGAGACTCCTTACATTAACCGTTTCATGAATAAATATAAATCTGAATACAAAATCGTCGGACCAACTTACAGAACAGACGGTCTTGGCTTTGTAAGTTTTTTGCTCTCGTCAACTTCTTGTGCATTTTTCATTTTACTTTTCGGGTTATTGCAATTTGCTGTCCAGCTAAATGTATAGCGAGTTTTGTACTATGCCTGAAGCATCGAAGATTCCCAATTTTTCTTGTCTTGTTTTGAACATTTTATTTAATTTAATCATATCATTATCCGTTAATTTCAGGCCTTTCCTATAGGCTCACCCCTCGCTGCAAATTTCTCGAGAGCAATCTTGAATATTTGCGAAAACGGACAGAGGGAAATTTACGAGAAAAAGAATTTTGGATCTGGCTATTCTACCTTAACCGAGCAGGAGACTTCAAGCCTCACTTTCTATGATTTCTCGGGCCTTTTCATTGTTGTGGCGTCGGCAGCTGTATGTGCAGTGGTTTGTTCTGAGACCAAAATTCTTAGTAGATTCAGTAACGTTGCTGCACATCTATGTGAAATGTGCTTTTGTTTGAATAATAGAAGAAACGTAAATGCCGTTTTTCCTGAAGCCGCCATTTCAGACAAGCAAGAGCCCGAGGAAGACAGTGATGCTGATGGAGATATTTTTGAGGACGCTTTGGATTATGAGGCTGATGATGTTCAGTAGGAGAAAATCAAATGTTTTGTGGTCAGAACCTTTCTGGTTATGCTAAAAGAGATGCAATTATTGGGCTACTGACATCGTAAATCGTAATAATAACAATACCGTAGCGATAACAAGGTTTTAACTAGTGTAACATTATGGGAGAGTTTGACAAAGGACTATAAATTAACTTATAATTTATTTGGTTATAATTTATTTGATTAGTTTATAAATTTTCTGTATTAAAAAAGTTTTGTTTGGTAGGTAAATTTTTTTAAAAGTTCGAATTTATTTTATAATCTTCTTTGGGTAGCTTTTTAAATAAGCATTATAAATTAACTTATAATTTATTTGGTTATAATTTATTTGGTTAGTTTATAAATTTTCTGTATTAAAAAAGTTTTGTTTGGTAGGTAAATTTTTTTAAAAAGTTCGAATTTATTTTATAATCTTCTTTGGGTAGCTTTTTAAATAAGCACGTTGAAACTTTTATTTTAGCTAGTTTATTAGTTAATTTTATTAAATATTTTTATCATATAAGTTAATTTTTCAGTTATAAATCATAAACTATCAAACTCAAAATTCACTTATCAACTATCAACTAACTTATTGACTAGATTTGCTAAACATAGTCTAAACAACTATCTTAGTGCCTCAAAACAACAAGATCAAGAAATGGTTATTTATGAAGTATTTGATAAACATAGTCTAAACAACTATCTTAGTGCCTCAAAACAACAAGATCAAGAAATGGTTATTTATGAAGTATTTGAAATTCTTGATTTTAAACTCTTTGAAATTTAAATTTGCTACTTTAATCTACTTGTGTATAAATTTGTGAAAGTAATTGTAATATTCATTATGTATTTCATGACGGCAGTGTTGCTTGTGGTGGTGATGGATCTTGCATACTCGTGGACGGCGCCGCCGTTGCAATGTGGTGATAAAAAGTGGATTCAAAATGACTAAATTTTTATTAGTTATTGAATCGTCAAAATAATGACTAAAATTCATTTACTGTGGATTTGAAATCTTTCAAATTGATATTATCATCTGAACATATATAGAGATTTGAACTTAAACATTCAAAATCCATAAATTTCAAAAAGTAAACTAGAAATAAGAAGATTTACTTAAATAAAACAAATTATGTCATCAATTACACCTTTTCTTCCAGCACTCCTTTTTTTTATTTTTAATTTTTAAAGATACAGTCTAATTAAAATGCAAGGGAGGACTAAATTATAATTTCAAAAAATACAAACACATTTTTTTTTTTTTCGGAAACGCAAATCTGCGTGTAGTTTGAGTTTGCAATTCGATTGGAGAGTTTTTCCCCATTGTTTTGGCCTTTTGCCTTTGGTTGAAGACTTGGTGGATTCTCAGTACATAACATAAGACAAGTACACGTAAGTAACATGGCTGGCATGCAAGTGTTGAGACAAACATTACAACATAGTTATATTCCACAAAAACTAGCATCCAAACAAGCAAACCACCTCACATATTCTTCAGGATAACCTAAGATGCTATTTTTTCTTTCGTATGATAGTATATGTATGGATGTTAACGTCAATATATAAGCATTTTTTTTAAAATGCTATTCTTATAATAAGTTAGAAAGAGGGCTTTTACTTTTTATTGAAAAAAATTCAATTGTTAACATTTTAATTTTGTGAATAAAAGTGCGAATAAATGTACATCATGAACTTTTTTATGCAGGTGTTATATTAGGCTGGCATATGCATTGGNGTTTAGTTTTTATAATAATAATAATCTATATATATATATATAATTACTAGCCAAACATTTAATAAATGCTAAAAAAGTTTTCCCTCCAAAGGACGTTACTTTGCATTAATTAAGTATTTATAATTTTTATTTATTTTATTATATAACAACTACTACTAACAAATCATAAAGTCACATTAAATGGTATTACAATTTAAACTTTTTTTCAAACTATTTATTTCATTTTTTTTTATTTTAACTCATTAAGCAACTTATTTTTTTATTAAGATTAGTGATTCAATTTTTATGATATAACTAATATTTTTAAAATTTCATACACAATTGCTATAATAATAATAATTTCAATATTTTTTTATCTAATCAATTATTCATAATTAAAAAAAAAGATTACAAAAATTATATAATTGCAATCGATATAAAAATTAATATGTAAGTTAATAGTTTATTGTTCATTTTTACTAATAATAAAATTTATAAGATGTGATATGCTATTATCTAATTTGTAATTTTAAATATTACATATACATACATATAACATATAAAATTTTATTTGCATCTATGCATATATATAGGATCGAATGCTAGTAGCCTAGTAATAATAAAACAAAACATGATAGAAGTTCCCTTAATATTATGCAAATGGAAAAGTCAAAATTATGGGCCAAGGTCAAGTCAAAGGCTTCATCTAGAAACACGCTGACCGAATTGGAATTTGTACAACGTCTATGCAACTTCCGCTTTTGAATTTTTCATTTTCACTGTTGACTAATTTTCACCTACCTCCCTTAATACGCATGTTATTATGGTTTTTTGCTATATATATGCAGCGCTATTAAGATTTCTATTAAATGATCATGTAACAAAAATATAATAATTGTGAGTAGGTGTACACATAAGAAAAATAGAAAAACTGACTAAAAATTAAATTAATATAGGACCGCTAATACTCAAAATTATTTTGTTTCGCTTTATTTAGTTATAAATGAATCACTAGCCAACCACATAATATTTATTGTCCAAGCAACAAAATAAATTTCTTTTTGATATATAGAGATTACACGAAACTCTAGAAATCTCCCTTTGGATTTGCTAATTACAAGAATTTTTTGCATAATTGAATCTTGTGCCTAATGTTGAATTAAAAAAACCACGCACTTGCTTAAAAAATATAAAATCAAACAACATCATTCTTGATTTCTTGTTTCTCATTTGAGGGTTGAAAAGAGAAATGCAAGAAATGCACAAGAGAGCATAGGTGAAGCTGCCAAAACTTGACTGACCCGAGAGTATTCCAATTTCGTCCTTTTCTTTTTCTAATGGAAAAGATCTACTATCATGTTCCATTTATATCAAATTCTATACATAAAAGAATAACATTATTATGGATGCATATCATTTACATAATAGAACAAAACATAAAGTGATATGATAATAAAAAAAAATCTAATAGTGAAAGTAATAATTGAAGATACATCGACTCAAGCTCCACGACTAGTACATAGCTCGTGCAACGTACGTGTAAATATTAATACATCGTACAAATTATAACAATAAATATTGATTAATATTAAAATAGTTTTAAATATCTATATTAATTTTTATTTTTTTAAATTTTTATGATTTATAATAGTTTAATATATAATTTTTACATATTTTATCCGTCATAAAACAAATGTCATATTTTATAAGGCTTAATCAATAGATTTAAGTTAGTTATAATTGATATCACATTACGTAAAATAAAAATAAAAGAAATATGAATGGTAAATAAAAATTATCAAAATAAAATAAAAAAATAATATTTAAAAAAAATCTATATTAAGTAAACAAGATCTATTTTGGCACGAAATTTATACTATTTCTACTAAATACAAACATTATATATATAGAAGGATGCATGACATTTTTTTTTTCAACCAAACAAAAATACTACTCATTCATTTCACTTTTTCAATCATATTCAACTAACCTAATTAAAAAATAAAAATAGTTATTATTATCAAATAATATACACAAATTATATATTTTTAACTACCAAATTTATTAGTTAATATTTTATTATATTATAACAAGTCAACTTTAATTATTATATTTCTATCTCATATCCATTTACAATTTCAAATTTATTTCATTTTTTTCCAAAAATAACTTTTTTTCATCTTTTCATCTCACTTGTTTAGGCGAGACAAAATTTTTGAAAAAAAGAAAAATTTCTAATCTCCACATGATCATATTTATTCTAGGAGCGACTAAATAATATTTTTCCTTTTGACATAAAAGTACACGAAACTCTTGAAATCTCCCTTAGATTCGCTAATTATGAGAGACTTGTGTATAATAGAATAAAAAAATCAATCTCGTGTTAAAAAATGTATAGTATCAAACATCATTTCTTGATTTCATTGGGAGTTGAAAAATACACAAAAAATAACATAGGTGAAACTTTCAAATCTTCATTGAATATTCCGATAGAAAAAATAAAATCATGCATTTAATGCTTATATCAATTCCACCTTTTTATTAGGTGTGCACTCTTATTTCCAATTTCATTCGCCTTCAAAAGTTCAAACAGCTCAATAATCTCAGCTGCGTACTTCATTTTGTGAATGAATGTGACCGTGTTTAATTTCCCCTTTAATACCCAATTTACCCTTCCCAGGTTCCCCACTAAGGACGGCAGAAAAAGAAGCCGAAAACGAGACCGATTCGCCGTGAGCGGTTGGGTCGAACCGTCCAGGGCGTTCCCGTCATTTACACCACAATAAACTCAAAAAACCGTCCTTTTAAAAACACACCTCCCATCACCGAATTCTATAATTTGATAATTTCCAATTTTCATCCCACCAACGAAAAAAAACCGGCGAAATGGTAGTTTCGAAAAATTCACAGATGGAACCTACCGGCGCGCCGACCAGCAGCTCGGCCTCCGGCCGCACGTCGGTGATCGACTCCCTCCGCGGCTTCACGCTGGCCGGCGTTCGGGTCAACAAGGAGGAGCTCCGGCGGAAGGTCACGATCCCCGGGTACCTACGGCTTGCCATGAGGGAGGCGATCCGGGAGAGGAGCGGCGGCGAGGCCGCCGCCGCCGCCGCGGTCCGGCTGCAAGAGGAGGCGGATCCGGCCGAGTGGCCGACGGTGGTGTTCGTGAATTCGAAGAGCGGCGGGCGCCACGGGCCCGAACTCAAGGCCCGACTGCAAGAGCTCATGGGCGAAGAACAGGTAAACTCTTTTTTGTTTTTCTGACGTGCTCCTGTTGAGTATGTGGGAGACTCCACTCGCAGAAAAACGCGTGTGGGACACGCACCGGTTTCTGCTTATTGGATTTGACTTTTGTATAATACTTCCCGTACGGGTTCAAGTGTGCAATTATATTAATATAATAAAGTAGCTTGTAAAAGTTTAATGTGGAGATAATACTTTTGGATCTGTAAATTGAAAACAATTGTTTCCATAAATTGTTTTTAGTTTTAATTACACGATCTTCTATGCAAATCAGGATAATGTTAGTTCAGTCGACCTGTGATAGTTTTTTAATAAAAATAAAAATATGTACTTATTTTTGCCAAATAATAATACTAGAACATACAGTATTTTTTCTTACTTTTGGCACAAGTAGTTTTTTTCTGTTACTAATTTTTATTTCACAAAATGTAATCTGTTTGTCCTTTTTCATAAATAAATAAATAAAAGGCATATAGACTATATTGTAATGATGTTTTATCTATTTATAATTCAAATTGATGTTTTGTTGGAGAAAATATTCTCTCTTTGTTTTTTTTAACGGCAAAAATCCAATTTTGGTTTGGTAATTTGTCTATTGTCCATTTTTGGTACACTATTTTTCCCCTCATAAAAAATGGTCCATTATGTTATTCTTTTCATCATTTTTAGTATGCTACTAGTATTAGTATGCTACTCCAGTTGGCGGGATTACAAGATGACGTGGATTGGGATTGAAACTACGGTTAAGATATTGACGTGGTAGGATAAAAACCTGATTTGACATCTCGTAATCCCGGGCCACGGGATTAGTGTACTAAAACTGATGAATGAACCATTTTTTATGAGGGGAAAAATAGTGTACCAAAAGTAGACAATGGACAAGTTAGCGGACTAAAATTGAATTTTTACTTTTTTTTTTTTAACTATTATGGATATGTCATATGTAGCCTAGCACCTTCATACAAATCATACATTTGATATAAAAATGCTACATTTACTCTTCCCGCCCTACCTTCTTTCCAGGATATACAAAACTGCCACCATCCATCTCTTGTGGATCTAATTACTGATAATCTAATTAATTTGTAGCAATTAAATACAATATTTTTTAATTTTTCTATTTTTTAAAATTTTTTGGGAGAATAATGGATTGTTAAGCATGTGAGTAATTAAGAAGGTGATGAAACCACCTACAACAAACGCTAAATGGGCCATGTTAGGTAAGCTGAAGTAATTACAATCTATATTATTAGGTAGAGTCCTCTGTTTTCTTGCCCTTTCCTTTTTATTTCACTTCGTCCTTTTCCTTTGGCCCTTGAAAACCACCAAATTTATCATTTTATGAATAGAAATGTACTTTGATCAGATGATTTCACCAACAAATGAAAGCATTAATTAATCTTGTGTGAGATAGAGCCGTCATACCGTTTCGTGCTAAAATGGGTACAGGTTTTCGACCTTTCGGAGGTGAAGCCTCACGAATTCGTTCAACACGGGCTGTCTTGCCTGGAGAGTTTCGCAAGCCTCGGGGACAAATGCGCGCAAGAGACTCGCGAAAAGCTTAAGATTGTGGTAATTAATTAATTTAACGAGCATGCTGAACTTTCATGAATATACAGTTCTTTTTAACTGATTGATTGACAGGTGGCAGGAGGTGACGGGACAGTCGGTTGGGTCCTCGGTTGTCTGGGTGAGCTTAGCAAACAGGGGAGGCTGCCAGTTCCACCGACCGGGATTATTCCGCTCGGTACCGGAAATGACTTGTCGAGGAGTTTCGGTTGGGTAAGCCATTTT